GATTTGAAGTTTGGTGAGATATCTGGCCTCATTTGTCAGATCTCTGGTGCCTCTGTTGTTTTTGTATGCCTTCAAATCATCTCTGACTTAGGGCAAACCCTATCTTGGGGTTTTCTTGGCAGGATTTATTCAGAGGAGGTTTGTCACTGCTTTCCCCTGAGGCTGAGAGCATGTGGCTTGCCCAAGGTCACCCAGTGGGTTTCATGGCTGAGCTGGGAATTGAACCCTGGTCTTTAGAGTCATAATCCAACACTCAAACCACTACATCACACCGAACTACAAGCCTCAGGGTTCTGTAGCATAGAGTTGTGGCTGTTAAAGTGGTGTCAAACTGCTTTGTTTCTGCAGTGCGGATACATCCATAGAGGAGGAGGGAAAGGTGAGGCAGACAGTTAATGAGTGTATTTACGCTACATTTTTATAGCTGCTTGATACCACTATAGCATGTTATGGCTCCATCCTGTGGAATCCTGGGATTTGTAGTTTAGTGATGGGGACTGAGAATTCTACTATACTCGACAGCTCTAGAGCTAATCTCCACTGAGCTACCCTTCCTGTCATATCTTGAAAAGGGGATAAGTTATAGTTCCTTGAAGTACAGTTCCCAGGGCACCCCGATCTAAAGGGAATGCCCTTGAGCATGGTTCTCAACCTTTGCTTTTCCAGATGTTTTAGACTTCAGCTCCCAGAATGCCTTACCAGTATGGCTAATAAGGAGCAAGTGTGGTATAGTAGTTTTGAGTGTCGGACTAGGATTCTGGGAGACCAGGGTTCGAATCATCACTTAGCGATGGAAACCTACTGGTGACTTTGGTCACGTCATACTCTTAGTCTCAGAGGAAAGCAGTAGACAACCCACTCTGGAGACATTTGTCAAGAAAACAACTTTGACGGCACACACAAATGATAAATGAATAATTTGGATCTGAGAAGTTGGAAGTTCCAAAAATCCAAGAGAGTAGCATTTGAAAATCACAGCAGAAAGCTGTCTAGCAAGGAATTCACCAAACTACAGATCCCAGGATTCCATCGGATGGAGCCCTGATCCTTCAAGTGATATTGGACGGCAGTAATTGCAGCATGGATAGACTCATCCTCTCCCATCCACTCTGCCTGGATGTGAAAAGAGTAAGGGTTTACGGGGAGGTATTTTATATCTTATTTCCAAATGTTTTGTATCAAAGAATCCCACATATTTGTATTATATAATAAATAACAAATAAAGCCAGTAATATAATAACCCATTTTGGAGCTGTGTGTGTGTTTACTTCATGGAGACAGGGTTTTGCTGTGTAAACCTAACTGGTTTCCAAGTTCTGGCTTGATCTGTTCATGGACCCATTTCTTTGTCTTTTTGACCACCCACAATATCCTCAGCACCACATCCCAGATGAATTTATTTTCTTTCTATCAGTTTTCTTCACTGTCCAACTCTCGCATCCGGAAATACAATGACTTGGACAATCCTCACTTTAGTGTTCAGAGTTATATGTTTGCACTTTAGGATCTTGTCTTGTCCTTTCATAGCTACCCTTCCCAATCCTAGTGTCCCATCTGATTTCTTCTCTGCAGTCTCCGTTCTGATCTATATTTGATCCAAGGTATGAGAACTCTTGATCATTTCCCCATTTTCTAGGATGACCTCTTGTAGCTCTCCCATGGTCATTTTTGTATTCTTAATGTTTAGCATTAAGCCTACCTTGGCACTTTCCTCCTTGACCTTCTCCAGTAATCGTTCCAGGTCCTTGTTGGTTTCTGTTAATAGTATTGCGTCCGGATGGGATTAGAAACCTTTAAATCTAGCCTACTTGCTTCTTGTTAAAATGTGGATTCAGAGCAGAGTGGAAGGTGAACACTGGCATCATGATGAATAACAGGAAAAGAAGCTGAATAAATCCATAACCTTCCTTGGAGAGGAAGCAAGCGTGCTCTATTGGTTTTGAGCTGGAGATGTGCTTACATTCCTTCCCTCTTGCTTGGAGCTAAGGGCCTTTGCAGACTGCCAGAAATAGTGCACATTAAATTGAGGCACTGCCTTGGCTCAGTGCTAGGGAATCATGGGAACTGTAATTTATTGTGGCACTAGAGCTCTCTAACAGAGAAGGCTCAATGTCCCAGAAAAAAATACAATTCCCATGACTCCCTAGCACTGAGCCAGGGCAGTGCCTCAATTTAATGTGCACTATTTCTAGCAGTCTGCAAAGGCCCTACGGCTCCCAAAACTGGAGAATTTTCCTTGTCTCCTGGCTGGAGAAGTCCCATGAAAATTGGAGACTTGGGGCCAGCACCTGAAATCTGGCAATTCTGGGACTAACCAACAGGACTCCAGCCACATGGAACAGACTTTTGAGTTTCTGGATCGCACCAGTGCCTCCAAATATTCTGAGTATGGTTTTCATTTTAGTGCCACAGTGGAAAAAGCCATCCATGTCCTGATTTGTAAGATATCAAAGTCTGCTTGTTTTGCACCAGGGAGTTCTGCATCGGTTGCAGCGGTCCAAGGAGGCTTTGCAGGAGAACATCCTGGTGGGCATGTAGGGATGCTGGGGACCCCAGTCTCTTGTGTGCCCACTTTCTGGAGGCTTGTGGCTGGCTGGCAGCTAAGCAAGCAGGCAGGGCTACCCAAAGGCCTCCCACAGGGTGGCACTGCAGTTCCTTCCTCAGCTGGGCTTGCCATCTTTCTTCCTTTTGGATGTTGGCAGCTGATCTTCCAAAAAGTGTGTAGGTGAAAGGAACAAAAGCCCAAGAGTGAGTTAATCTTCACTCTGGAGCCTCTTATTATCATTGCCAGAGGCCTTTCAGGTGATGCCGGACTCCATCATCCCAGTTATCCTGGTCAGTGGTGAGAGGATGGATGCTAGGAGTTGTAGTGGTCAAATCATCTGGAGGGCCACAGGTTTGCCAGCAATCTCTGGGAGGCAAGGAGAAAGAGGGCCTCTGAGCATGGTTTGAGTGCTCACTGCCAGCTAACTAAGACTTGATGGGACACATCCGAGGGTGTAGCAGATATCTGGGAGCTTTGGCGGGGAAATCGGAAGAATCCCACCCACCCCCCTTGACTATTCCCCAACAGCAACTCAGGTTAAATACAGGTTAAAGGGTGCATCTACATTGTGGAAATAAGGCAGTTTGACATCACTTTAACTGCCATGGCTCCATCCTACAGGATCCTGGAATTTGTAGTTTGGTGAGGCACTAGTGCTCTTGGGCAGAGAAGACGAAAGGCCTTGTAAAATGATTTCATAGGATGGCGCTACTGCACTTAAAGCGGTGTCAAAGTGCATTAACTCTACAGTGTAGATTCACCCCAAGTCTCTGAGCATGGAGGCCTCCATTTCTTGCATTGACACACTCCCTTTCGTCCCATACACTTTGGGTGAATGACTAAACTAGGAGGTGGTGTGAACATGTGGACCTTTAGATGTTGTTCTCCTACTGTCCCTCGCATCATCCATGCTCCCTCCATTGTCTCTCCCATCATTCCTGGTCTTTGGTCATGTGGGCTGGGGCTGATAGGAACTGGAATCAAATTCCCTTTGAAGGGAGATCTTACAGCACCCCAAATGCAAGTCTGCTCCAGATCAGCAAAAAAGCCCTTCTGTGGAGGGAACTAATAAGGAAAGCTATACTGCCTTTGGCCATGGAGGCTCATCACAACCATTGAGAGGCCTGTGCTTTTCCAGGGGTTGGCCCCAATCCCTCACCTATCCTGTGCATGGCCCCGATCCCTCCACCTCTCCTTTGGAGGCTCAATCTCTCCCTATGAGATTCTTTAGCAATGCTCAGGGCTTATTTTCTGTCCTCAAGAGAAGTTTTAAAAGGGAGAGGAGGATAGAGAGATTGCGGGGGCAAGCAGACTAGATCTCTGGCAGCCAGGAATTGGGGGGCAGAGGAGGTGGGGTTTTTTTGGGGGGGGGAACTCATTGATTGCAGAGAAAGGAAGGGAGGAAAAGGCACAGAAAGGAACTGCACACAATTGAAAAAGGAAATATGTGCGCGCACACACACATATATGTATGCATATGTGTGTGTATATATTCTATATGTATGTATGTATGCATATGTATGCATGTGTATGTATATAGATCATATATATCTATATCTATCTAATCTAATCTATCTATAGACATATAGATATAGATATTCTTTTTCAGTTGTGTGCATTTGCTTTCTGTGCTCTTTCTTTCTTTCTTTCTTTCTTTCTTTCTTTCTTTCT